TCTTTAAAAATATTTCTCCATATTATTAAGGCTTTTTAAGGCTTTGGAATTTCAATAAAGAATCACGTTTTCAGCAATTTTGTTTTCCACGTTCATCTTCAAAAGGTGAGATGCTCAGTGCTATTAGTGGTTTGTCCACGTCTTTTCAAATACGTTGTTATGTATGGATTTAATTACTTCAATTCAGAGCTCCTTTGGGAGAAATCATGATACAGTTTAAGGCACAATTTAGCCTTCACGTTATTTGCAGCGCTTGCTTGAATTATCATTTGTCATGGTGTGATAATTCTCATGTTATGTTGGTAAGAGAATTTATGCATAATTTCGCGTTTGATTTGAATGTGGAGCAGCAAGTATCTCATTGAGTATAATTCGTTATACTCATCCCTCTCTATTTAAAATTTTCAGGTAGAAATTAGTATGCTGGACGGCGGTGGATGGATGCATATTGGACCAATGGATCTCCATCATGAAGTACTTTAATTTTTAGAAACACTAGAATATTTATTAACATTTGATTATTATTATTTTTAAATTTAGACTCAATTGTGAGTCACGTCATAACTTTCAATTAGTCCTATTTTTATTATTTGTTAGAACTACTTTTATTAATGTTTGATAAAAGATATGATTCCAAATTGTTCCGCATATGTTATTTAATTTAATTTACCTTTTGTTAAGGTTGTTCAATTTTTACTGAATTCCTCGTTATATTAAAATGTATTTGCCTCAAGCACTTTATTAATCAATTCACGTTTGGTAACGTTCTGGGTTGCTAGAGAATTCGGGGCGTTACAAACAGCGTGTCAAAAATCTGTCTACAAATAGCAATGTTCAATCGATACGGACCATGCCACATATACACTATGGTGTACACTTTAGTTTTCACTTTGCCATGTAACATTACCCTGTTGGATAGTTTAAATTTAAAACAGTTTTCCCATCTAATTGACACTTGAATACAATGTAGTGTCAAACAACGTCTCAAAAATTAGTGTACAAATAGCAATATTAAATCCGTAAGAACCTTGCGGCACGTACACTATGGTGTACACATTAGTAAGTTCAATCGGTAAGAACCTTGCTACATGTATACTATGGTGTACACTTTAGTTTACACTTTGCCACATGTCATTACCCTATTAAACAGTTTAAATTTCAAATAGTTTATCCATCCAATTGACCCTCGACAACAATGCAAGTGTCAAACAACATGTCAAAAATCAGTGTAGAAATAGCAAAGTTCAATCGCTAAGAACCTTGCAACATGTACACTATGGTGTACACTTTAGTTTACACTTTGCTACGTGACATTACATTATTGAACAGTTTAAATTTCAAACATCTTTTCCATCCAATTGATACTTGACTGCAATGCAAGTATCAGACAACGTGTCCAAAATTAGCGTACAAGTAGCAAAGTTCAATCGGTAATAACTTTGCTACATGTACACTATGGTGTACACTTTAGTTTACACTTTACCATGTGTCATTACCCTATTGGACGATTTAAATTTCAAATAGTTTACCCATCCAATTGACCATCGACAACAATGCAAGTGTCAAACAACGTGTCAAAAATCAGTGTACAAATCGCAAAGTTCAATCGGTAAGAACCTTTCTACATGTACGCCATGGTGTACAGTTTAGTTTACACTTTTCCTCGTGACATTACCCTGTTGGACAGTTTGAATCTCAAACAATTTTCCCATCCAATTGACACTTGACAACAATCCAAGTGTGAAACAGCATATCAAAACTCAGTTTACAAATAACGAAGTTCAATAGGTAAGGACCTTGCTACATGTACACCGTGGTGTGCACTTTAGTTCACACTTTACTACATGACATTACCCAGTTGGACAGTATCAATTTCAAACAGTTTTCCCGCCCAATTGACACTAGACAACAATACAAGTGTCAAACAACGTGGTAAAAATCAGCGTACCAATAGCAAAGTTCAATCGGTATGAACCTTACTACATGCACACTTTAGTTTACACTTTGCCACGTGACATTGCTCTGTTGGACAGTTTAGATTTGAAACAGGTTTCTCATCCCATTGACCCTTGACAACAATGCAAGTGTCAAACAACGTTTCAAAAATCAATGTACAAATAGCAAAGTTCAATCGGTAAGAACCTTGCTACATGTATACTCTGGTGTAAACTTTAGTTTACGCTATGCCACCTGACATTTTCCGATTGGACAGTTTAAATTTCAAATAGTTTCCCATCTAATTGACAATTGACAACTATGCAAATGTCAACCAACGTGTCAAAAATCAGTGTACAAATAGCAATGTTCAATCGGTAAGAACCTTGCTACATGTACACTATAGTGTACACTTTGCCACGTCACATTACCCAGTTGGACAATTTAAATTTTAAATAGTTTTCCCATCCAGTTGTCACTTGGAAACAATCAACTATCAAACATGTCAAAAATCAATTTCAAAATAGCAATGTTCAATCGGTAAAGACTTTGCTACATGTACACTACGGTGTACACTTTAGTTTACACTTTGCCACGTGACATTACCCTGTTGAACTATTTAAATTTTAAACAGTTTTCTCAACCAATTGACACTTGAGAACAATGCAAGTGTCAAACAACATGCCAAAAATTAGTGTACAGATAGCAAAGGTCAATCGATAAGAACCTTGCTATATGTACACTATGGTGTACAATTTAGTTTAAACTTTGCCACGTGACATAACCCTATTGGACAGGTTAAATTCCAAATTGTTTTCCCATCCAATTGTCACTTGACAACAATGCAAGCATCAAACAACATGTCAAAAATCGGTGTACAAATAGTAAAGTTCAATCGGTAAGGACCTTGCTACATGTACACTATGCTGTCCACTTTTGTTTGCACTTTGCCATGTGATATTAGCCTGTTGGACAGTTTAAATTCCAAATCGTTTTCCCATCCAATTGACACTTGACTACGATGCAAGTGTCAAACAACGTGTTAAAAATCAGTTTACAAATTGCAATGTTCGATAAGGATGAACTTTGCTACATGTACATTTCATTTTACACTTTACCACATGACATTACCCTATAGGGCAGTTTAAATTTCAAACGGTTTTCCCATTCAATTGTCGCTTGACAACAATGCAAGTGTCAATTAAGGTGTCAAAAATCAGCTTACAAATAGCAAAATTCAATCGGTAAGGACCGTGCTACATGTACACTATGGTGTACACTTTAGTTTGTACAATGCCACGTGACATTACCCTATTAGACAGTTTCAATTTCAAATAATTTTCCCATCCAATTGACTCTTGACAACAATGGAAGTGTCAAACAACGTGTTAAAAATTAGTGTACAAATAGCAAAGTTCAATCAGTAAGATCCTTGCTATGTACACTATGGTGTACACTTTAGTTTGTACAATGCCACGTGACATTACCCTATTAGACAGTTTCAATTTCAAATAATTTTCCCATCCAATTGACTCTTGACAACAATGGAAGTGTCAAACAACGTGTTAAAAATTAGTGTACAAATAGCAAAGTTCAATCAGTAAGATCCTTGCTATGTACACTATGGTGTACACTTTAGTTTGTACAATGCCACGTGACATTACCCTATTAGACAGTTTCAATTTCAAATAATTTTCCCATCCAATTGACTCTTGACAACAATGGAAGTGTCAAACAACGTGTTAAAAATTAGTGTACAAATAGCAAAGTTCAATCAGTAAGATCCTTGCTATGTACACTATGGTGTACACTTTAGTTTGTACAATGCCACGTGACATTACCCTATTAGACAGTTTCAATTTCAAATAATTTTCCCATCCAATTGACTCTTGACAACAATGGAAGTGTCAAACAACGTGTTAAAAATTAGTGTACAAATAGCAAAGTTCAATCAGTAAGATCCTTGCTATGTACACTATGGTGTACACTTTAGTTTGTACAATGCCACGTGACATTACCCTATTAGACAGTTTCAATTTCAAATAATTTTCCCATCCAATTGACTCTTGACAACAATGGAAGTGTCAAACAACGTGTTAAAAATTAGTGTACAAATAGCAAAGTTCAATCAGTAAGATCCTTGCTATGTACACTATGGTGTACACTTTAGTTTGTACAATGCCACGTGACATTACCCTATTAGACAGTTTAAATTTCAAATAGTTTTCCCATCCAATTGACACTTAACAATAATGCAAGTGTCGAACAACGTGGCAAAAATCAGTGCACAAATAGAAAAGATCAATCGCTAAGAACTTTGCTACATGTACACTATGGTGTACACTTTAGTTTACACTTTGCCACTTGTCATTACCCTGTTGGAGAGTTTAAATTTAAAATAGATTTTCCATCCAATTGACACTCGTAAACAATGCAAGTGTTCAACAATGTGTCAAAAATGAGTTTACAAATAGCGAAGTTCAATCGGTAAAGACCTTGCTACATGTGCACTATGGTGCACACCTTAGTTTTCAGTTTGTCACGTGACATTGCCTTATTGGACAGTTTAAAATTCAAGTAGTTTTTCCATCCAATTGAAACTTGAAAACAAGGCAAGTGTCAAAAAAGGTGTCGAAAATCAGCATACAAATTGCAAAGTTCAATCGGTAAGAACCTTGCTACATGTACACTATGGTGCACACTTTAGTTTATACTTTGCCACGTGACATTACTCTATTGGACAATTTAAATTACAAACAGTTTTCCTATCTAATTAACACTTGACAATAATGCAAATGTCAAACAATGTGTCAGAAATCAGTGCACAAATAGTAAAATTCAATCGTTA